AATTAAAAGCCCATTGCACAATACTATAAAATGAAAAGATAAGGGGTATCCACCGACCCGTCTGGAATCAGACCAGCCATCCTATCAACTTCAGCCAGATGGAACTGGCCAGAGGAAACTGTATTCTTTCCTCAGCAGGCACAGAGAGCGATTAAAGAAGATTGTAATGTCTTCTCGTACTCAAAAACTTAAAACATGAGAATTCTCTGAAGGGAGTAGAATGCGAAGATTCATAAGCGAGTGGCTATTAAAGTCCCCATTAGGACCCTCTCTAAACTACCTCCATTTAAGTGGAGAGGCAAATTAGCCCCCACTGGCATTTATGTTTAGAAGAGGCTGGCAGAAAGAAGCAGCCTACATTTGGATGCTTAAGGTCTCTGACATACCCATACATAAATCATTTCAGGGCAAGGCTGTCATCCTGCATCTTCTGCTCTGCCTTTTAAATGGATGGGACCCCAACATCCCATTCTCCTCAGGGTAAGGAGTGGGGGTGGGAAGTTCACGGAGAACAAAGAATAGTGACTTCCTTTTCCCCCTACTAAAGACAGATGTAGTAAAAAAATAACTACATTATAATGTTTGCCCACTTTAAAATACCAAACTGCAAACAGGTAGACTGAACGATAATGTTTGAGAGCCCCTAAATCTACACAAAGATGTGTCTATTAAAGGAACATGGAAATGAATCTATTAAAGAAAGGCTAAGTGTGATTGATTGCAGTCACACGTGCTTTCATTTGTAGAGCTACATCTATTTAGTGATTGCATCTTTATAAAGATACATTCTGGATAACAGGGGCAGTTATATTTTTATTTCATCTACCAAGTTGCTGTTTCAAATAAAGAAACAGATTTACAGTAACTGAAGAACACACAAATCACATACAAAAAAAAAAAAGCCAGTTATTTTATCCTTTGAGTGTGGCTAGCAAGGCTCCTTTGTGTCTACAAATTTCCCTGGGTGGTGCTGTTGCCAAGAAATTCTAATTCATGACAAGGTTTTCTGCGAATTGGGGACAGAGGCAAACCTGCGGATGGACAGACCCTACAGTTTGCTTTGTCTTCTGGCTGATATACCTGGTGGCCCAGACCTGCAGAAGGAAGTGCAAAGGCAAGATCTTCACATAAAAGGAGAAGCAATGTGGCTCACAGACCAAATCCCATCCCTGGTACCATGAGGCTGTTCTTGGAATGCAACCATTTCTGTAGGTTTTCCCCTAGAGATTCCTTATACCAAAGGCCCTCATAAAAATTGTTTCAGGGTGCCTGAAACCAAGATGAAATTGCAGTGTTATGGGGACACTTTAGTCCTTACAGTAGCCAAGTATGCCATTAGTTTAAAACAATAGGGGAATGGGGGAGGAGAGAGGAATGTTCTATGATTTATTTATTTGTTTCCAGTAGCAGTGGAAAATTTTCTCCCAGCAAAGAGAGACCTGAAACTGACCCCATCTGCCAATTATGAATCAGCATTAACAATAAACATAATTCCATAAGACTTTTCAAGCAAACATGAGATGCTCCTCAATGACACGATGCAAAGCTAAGTCCAAATAAGACTTAGATCATCACTGCTTGACCTGCACTCATGAAATAGCAGACTAGAGACAGAATATATAAAAGTTCTAAAAGTCTTTATATATTCTAGAAGAAAATAAAAGCATTCTATCATATTCTTTTTATTTTCTAAGTCAGCAGTGTGTCTGTGTCTAAAAACAAAATCATGATTTCTATTGGCAAAAAAAGTCATGAATGAGTTTCCCTTTACCCATATCAAGTGGTACCCCATAAGAAACTCTGGTTTCTGTCCTACCCTTGACCTTTTCCTACTTTTGCTCAGACAGCTCTTGGAAATTTTCTTACAAGTTTTCAAAGCGCTTAAGGCTGGCAGTCTTAAGAATTGTGCGTCAGCTGAATTCTATAAAATAATAGACCACATGAGCACAGTGTAATTTACAGTTATATGACAGGCAGAAAGATGATGTTACTTGGGCCAAGTGCTTAAGTATGCAGTCAGAGCCCAGGAATGGAGAGCTGTTAATGTGTGACGTCCATTTGGATTTCAGAATTATACCAGCAACAATTATTTTCAGACTTGGAGCTATGTGGCTAAGGCATCATTGCCAGAAAATCCAATGTCAAAATGAGGATCTCCCTGACAGGAGGTGGCCCTGCCACAGTCAGTGACTTTGTCACAGGCTCACTGACTATTAGGCAGGACAATTATCCCATATCCTAAGTTTAAAATAAAATCCCCAAATCATTTATCTTCAATTTTCAAATGTAAAAATGTTCTTGAGTTTATCATCGAAGCCACTCTTTCTCTAGAAACCAAGTCAGATTATCAGAATCTCCATATTTCGCTCATCTCCACGAGCCCAGGTACATTGTTCACTTTAAGAAGAACAACTAATAATTACTCCTCATTTGACCTCTAAAATCTGATTACCCCAGAGCATAAGGAAACTTCTTCCTGTCTGGGGTTCTTTGCAGAAATCTTGCTGAGCTGTTTTGAGCAAAAGAGTCTCAAAATTTCATCATCTGATAGTTGATTTGGAACTAACAGCTGCATATCACCATCACCACCCCTTATACTCAGAAGCAGCAAGATGGTTTGGGGAGGGGGAAGAAGGAAGGGATAGAGGCTAAAGGTTTTGTCATCAGTGTAAACCTATGGTCGTAGTCGCCTTTATATAGAGCAGTTGAGACTATGGAGTCCAGAGCATAAAGCTCACTGGAGTGATATATTGTTTATTACTGCTTCCCCACAAGTTATGCATCAGTATTGGCTATAAGCATGCCGCTGAATAAGTTGGCTAAGGGTTTTAAGGTGAGAGTGGCTGGCAGTTAGAGAGGGTTAAGGCAAGAAGTGAGGGGGTTCCGAGGGGTGAAAAATCCTTTGCCTGTAGAAACTGAACTAGAGCTTCCCTGAAGGGGGAGGAGGCAGAGGAGCAGGGGGAGGAGGGGAGAAGGAAGAGCAGAGATGGCTTCTTAGGAAACAATAGATCTAATACATCCTCTAATTGTCAAACCAGTGATGTTTCTTTGCAGATCTAGAGTTTGTCCTGGATGGTCTAGCCAGATCTAGAAAAGCAGGTTTCCTGTGAAGAGACCTTCCTCCAAATCTGGCTTTACTACTCTGAAAACTTGAACCAAAACAAAGTTGCATGATTCATCAGTAGGGAACGTTCTAACAAATAAAGCCAACTTTCTTCCTTCTAACACTGCTTAACAGTTAGTCACAAACAAGGGCTGCCTTGGGCAGGCTGACTAAATCAACAGATTCCCTTCTCTAACCTGTCTAGACAGTTGTTAATATGCAACCGATTCCACACCAGTGGGCTGACAGTGTGAAATGAAGGCTATTTCAGAAAATGAAATTCAGGCAACATTTTGGTTTAATTAGCATTGGAAATAAAAGGAAGAAAAAGATCCAGTGAGGCCCTTCATGAGATACACTCTCGTTAAGGATAAGGATGCATCGAATAAAGACTTTATGCTAAAAATATGTGAACTGTGTATGTGTTCACAGAGAGACAGTCAAGCATCTGCCAGCGTCCTTGGACAGGAATGCATGTGTGGACACACTGACACCAGAGGCCAATACCTGGAGGAAAACTCACAGCCTCTGACCAGAAGAGAACTAGTAACAATGGTACAGTTAGAGGATCCGCTTTGCCACTCAGCTCCTTATACCAAAAGCCAAACCTCTTTTGCTAAAGCAGCGACTGTTACATCTCAGCCTCAAGCTGGCAAATCCTGCTTTGGATCCCGGCAGAGGAAATTCAGCCGTTCATTAGCCTTAACAAGCTGCTGTCACTAAGCGGAGAAGTTACATGAGCAGCCACACACCGAGTCTCTCACAGCCCTCCCCTCAAGGGCAAGCGGGTTTCTCCAGGACGGACTGTACAAGTTCACACTTCCTATGTGCAAATCCGGACTGTCTTCTTGGACTTTCCATGGTGCACACTGTAGAATTTTTAAATACCCGTGTCCCCCTGCCCCCACCCACCATCTTTCCTGCAGAATGTCCCCTCAGCAGCTCCTAATCGCTGCTGAAAAAAACCACTGTTTCCGCAGCAGAGCCAGCACTTTCCACTGACCAGCACTTTCTTTATTCCACTTCACAAAGCCCAGTGAACTTGTCACCAGCCCCGCTTCATCCTCCCTGGGACGGCTAGCCAACTTGGCATCGGTGCCCTTCAGCATCCTAGGAGTTTCTTAACTAGTCCTCTAAGACAAAGTCAGACGCATGGAAGCACACATCAGTCTTTGTCTGAGGTTGTGCTGCCTAACTAGAGAAGGACCCTAAACAAAAAAGAGAAACAAGGACACGCATAGAGGCATCACACTGGGAAAACCTACAATGCGTTGTCAGCCTCAGCTACATCTTCCCGTCCTCCTTGAGTATCTTTTGTCGCTGGGCTCTTTTCTCTTTTGCCTACCTTCTAATCTCAAAATCAAGCTCCTATTCTTTATTGACACTCGCTAATTACTGAAAAACACTCCGCTTTGCTCCTGCCCACCCTCCCCCCGCCCCCCATCCGATGGTCGTAAGCACCAGTTGAAATAGATGAACCTGATTTCAGGTACCAAGTGGGTAGAGCTCATGCATGCGAGAACGTGGTCCCTGTCAGCAATCGCTCCTAACACCCCAAACCACCTTCCCACCCGGCTCCTCCGAACCCCAGAAGTTCGGCAGGTCTCTGATAGGGGACAGCAAACCCGACAACGTGTGCGCAGGGATGTGTGTTGGCGACTGAAACGCAGGCAGCTCGGACCGGCTGCTCAGCTCGGCACACTACGAGGTTAGGGGTGGGTGGAGAGGTAAGCGCAGATGACTGTTTCAGAAAACATTTTCAACAACAGACAGCCAAAAAGGAAGGAAAAAAAAATCAAACAAACAAACAAAAATTTCGACCCAGAGCCCACACCAACGCAGCCCCTGCGTCTCCGCCGCCACCACACGATTTACACAAGTAATTTAAATCATTCACCTGCTGCCAGGTCTCCTCCAGGGATGGCAAAGCTGAGAAGTAGCCGGTGTCGTGGACAAGTTGTAGCTCCTGGAATATACTATAACTAGCCAACACGTCCATGCTGCTGCTGCCGGGCAAAACGGGAGGCAAAACCCTCCCCCGAACACAGTTGGGGCTGTTTGTTTGTCAGTCTGTCTGGCTCACCCCCCAAGAAGGCAGACATCCAGTGGCCCTTTTGTTTTGTTTTGTTTCAGTCAACTAAAAAGGAAAAAAAAAAAATTCAATGCAGGAGAGGGAGAGAGGAGGTGAGAGAGGAGCGAGTGAGTGGGGTGGATGGAGAGAGGCATCCAGCGTGTACAGTGCAGACGACTGCCAGGAAAAGGGGACTTCTCCACGGGAGTAACAATTCCCTTCCAGGGCTCTAATCACTCCAGCTCGTGGATCAGGAAGGGGGATGCAAACTCACTGACACGAAGCTGCCATCTATTTCTGCAGCGCTGTTCGCTCCTAATGCAATCTTTGCTCTTTATTTTGGGAGGTTGCATTTTTTTCTCTCGCGATCGCTTCTCTCCCCCCCTTCCCTTCCCTCCCCACCCCCCACTCCATCCTTGCTAGTTTGTAGTCTTCCCCCTCCCTTTTCTCCTCCTCCTGCTCTTCCCCCTCCCCAAACTCCCTCCCTCCGCCCGGTTCTCCGCGCAGCCGTGGGATCTCGGAGGAGGGCGTCCATTAGGCCGCGTGTGACCATGTAAGGTAAACAGGGGGCTCATGAAGTCACTGAGGACCAATGGGGAGCCCGGAGCGGGGCCTGGGGCGGGGCTTGGCCCTGGCGGCGGGCGCGGATTGGCGCGCTGCGGATCTCCCTGCTGCCTTACAAGGCGGTGCGAGGCGAGCTATTTTTAGAGGGCTATATAAGGGGGCTGAGGCGGCCGCCGGGCGGCCGGGGAGCGCGAGCGCAAGGGACGGGGAGGGTCGCGGCGACACTCGCGCCAGCTCCCGGGACGCCAGGGCGGATGGGCTTGGGTTGGTCGCCGGCCTCCGACCCTCGACTAGGTGCCTGGCGGAGCCCGGTGCGTCCGGAGCCCGCGCCCCTCAGAGGGGTCGCGCGTCGCCGCGGCGGCGCTGAGGCTGGCGGTCGGGAGGTGAAAGTCCGGATTGCGGGGTCAGGACGCCTCCTGGAGGGGGCGCGGCGCAGGGGGCCGCGGGAAAGCCGCCGAGGGCGCGGAGCGGGAAAGGAGGACACTGGCCACCTCGCCTCCGCCTGGGCACGGGGCAAGGGGGACCCACGCGTGGCGGTGCCGGGGAGGTCCTCACATACTCAAAAACAAGCAGAAAAGGCATCCAGGGCCCGTTCCCGAACTCCCCACAGACTGGCAGGGTGCAGAGAAGCGCCTGAGGAGGAAGTGCCACACAATGGGCGAGAACAAAGGGGAGCGGAGCGAGACTGCGGCCTGCGCCCGCCCCCTGCTTGCGCACAGTCCCCGCCCCGCCCCGCGGGCGCCGCCGCCGCCGCCCTCCCGCGCCACCTTGTGACCCCGAGCTGGAGACCCGGTCTGGAGTCCGGCGGCTAGAGGTGGTTGCGAGGGGCCTGTTGCTCGAGTGCGCGATGAAGAGGCTAGAGGGAGCCTAGGTAGATGTGGGAGGCAGGCTGGAGCTGGCAGCTTGCAAGGGGGCCTTTACGTGAGGCTCCCCATGGGGTCTCCAGCGAGTTGTCTGCAGAGCTGTGATGGTGAGAGGAGGAACTCGATTTCTCGTTTTCTGGAGTTGGGATGTAGACATATAGAGATCTGTTACATCTGAGATGAAAACCCTGCACAGTACACGTTAGGGTTGGCCAATTGTTTGCTTGACCTTAAATGGTTAGTGTGGTTTAAGCTTCCCCAAAATGCACTGTGAGCTGAGCTTCCACTTTTGGAATGATTGCAGAATTCGGTGCTTAAGAGATGAGAAACCGTTCTACCAGTAATGGAAGAAACACTTCACCTAATCACCCTCCTTGTCTTTCCCTCCCTTTGACTATGTAGGACTCGATAACAGAACATTTGAAAGATTCTACTCTATGAAACAAGCACAGATTGAAATTCAGTATTTGCCGAGGAACATTAAACAGGAGTTACTGGGATTGAGGAAAGCCTGATTTATTTACTTGTTAGTGTCTGGAATTATGTTGGCCAGATTCATAGCATTCATTGTATGAGTATAATTGGTACATTTACTCCAATGTAGATGCAGACGCATCTGCAATTAGATGTGCAAGGACGCTGCCAGCTAACTAGCTGCATGACTTCGAGCGAATTACTGGGTCAGAATTTCTACCTACCCATCTCAGAAACAGAAATAGTGGCATCCACGTTGTCTAATTGTTATGAAGAGTCAGAATATTTTTGGTAACTCACCTAGCATAGTATCTGACACTATTAGGTGAATACTAAATATCAGCTATCATTGGCTCCCCACTTGAGCTACGTAAACTAATAGGACCATTAGGAGAATATACTATTGGATCTTGGAGATAGAGGAAAGGTAGAAACCCCTTGCTAGTTTGTTACAAGGTGTCCTCTCCTCTGACCCCCATGCTATTTCAACTCGGGGGATGGGCAGGAGCCATTGAGAAACACTAGGGCAAAAATATGTTCACGAATAATAGGGAAAGGAAAGGAACTTGGGTATAGAAAAACTAGAGGCAAAAGGTGAGGCAAGACCAACCATGTAATTTGGTACTTGAGACTCAAGTGAACTTATGTGTGTCACATTATAACGATTTTTGAATAAAACAGGACATATCGGTTAACGTGAGTTTCAAGATTTTATAAATAATAGTTACCATTTATTAAGCACTTGGAGTGTGCCGTATGTACATAAACATTTTATATGCAATGTCTCATTTAATCTTAAGGACAGCCCCAAGGTTTGCACTTTTATTATCCCCAACTTTATGGATGAAGATACCCAGGCTTGGAAATACTAAATAAGTTGGTCAAGGTCTCACAACCTGGAAGTGGTCAAGCAGGGATTCAAATCCAAGAGCATCTCACTCCCCACACTGTTCTACACTGAGCTTTGTATGGTGAAAAATGGTCAATATATGTTTTAAGTCAATATATGTTTACAAAAATTGCTTGGGTGGGGCCGGAGGAGGGGGCTTCCATTGAGACTTTTCCTATGTAACTATCAGCCATCTGACTTGCAAAAGGACTCAACCAAAATTTTACAAAGCAAATACTGCAAATCTCATTATGATCTTTGCTCCAAGCTTTGTAGAATATTTTAGATTCATTTTAAGAGATTTATGCAGCAAGGCATTCTGAAAGGCACATTTTCAATATTAGTTATATTTAGCTACTTTTCATAGCCTAGAGACCCAAGATTCACATTGCAAAACACATGCAAGGTATCCAAATGTACAAAGTAATCAACAAATTAAGATCACAAGAGAACTTTGGCAGTTCAGCAAACCAAAATAAACTGCACTGTTATCACTACCACTTACTCATTACCTTCTTTGTACCTGGCATTTTACACATACCTCTGATCTCCACAATCCTGTGAGGGAGCTGTTAGTGCTCCATTTTTTTAGATGAAGATACTGAAGTTTAGAGAGTGCATGTAATTTGCTCATTGCCATGGGTCTAGTAAGTGGTAAAAGCAGATTGGAATACAGGTCTGCCTCCAAATTGACTCCAAAATCTGTCTTCTCCACAAGTATTACCTTGGGAGGTACTCATTTTACTTCTAATAATGTCACTCTTCGGAAGTGATCCTATAGGAAACACCCTAGAGTAAATAATAAATTATCCCCCCACCCGGGAGAGCTTAGAAATAAATGAGGATATTTTAAGAATAAAATAGTAAAAATTTAATATGTAAATAGACACATTCAAGGCATCAGGCTTTTTCCACCAATAAAATTCTGCTTCATGCGTATAGGAAGTCTTTATTATCCCAGTGTGATTAGTACTCCTGAGAGTAAATCCACTTAAAACAGGGACCAAATTTCAGACCAATCAGTGAAGAAAGGTTTGCCTGAGACTTGATATGAAAATAAAACTCAATGTTATTAAAATGCATTTATTCTGTCCTGTATGGGCACACCTCATTTTATTGTACATAGCTTTATTATGCCATGCAGATACTGCTTTTTTATATAAATCGAAGGTTTGTGGCAACTCTGCTTGGAACAAGTCTTATCAGCATAATTTTCCCAACAACACGTACCCACTTTGTGTCTCTGTAACATTTTGGTAATCCTCACAGTATTTCAAACTTTTTTGCTATTATATCTGAAAATGGTGATCTGTGATCAGTTATCAGTTTTACTATTGTAATTGTTTTGAGGCACCATGAAGTGTGCCTAGATAAGATGTAGAGCTTAATAACTAGTGTGTGTGTGCGTGCTGATTACTCTACCAACTGGCTCTTCCCCTCCCTCTCCTCAGGCCTCCCTATTCCTTAAGACACAACAATATTGAAATTAGGCCAATCAATAACCACCACTATGGCCTCTAAGTGTGCAAGTGAAAGGAAGAGTGACGTATCTCTTTTTTATTTTTATTTTTATTTTTATTTATTTTTATTTATTATTATTATTATTATACTGACGTATCTCTTTAAATCAAAATCTAGACATAATTAAGCTTAGCGAAGAAGGTATATAAAAAACCGAGATAGACCAAAAGCTAGGGCTTTGCACCAAACAGTTGGCCACTCTGTGAATGGAAAGAAAAAGTTATTGGAGGAAATTAAAAATGCTACTCCAATAAACAAACAGATGATAAGAAAGCAAAACAGCTTTATTGCTGATATAGAGAAGGTTTTAGTGGTGTGGATGGAAGATCAAACCAGCAACAACATTCTTTTAAGCTAAAATCTAATCCAGGGCAAAACCCTGACTCACTTCAATGTTTTGAAGGATGAGAGAAGTGAGGAAGTTGCAGAAGAAAAGTTGGAAGATAGCAGAGGTCAATTTATGAGGTTTAAGGGAAAAAGTCATCTCCATAACATTACAGTACAAGGGAAGGAGCAAGTGCTAATGTAGAAGCTGCAGCAAATTATCCAAAAGACTGACCTAAAATCATTGATAAGGGTAGATGATGCAGCCTTCTATTGAAAGAAGATGCTGTCTAGGACTTTCATAGCTACAGGAAGAAAGCAATGCCTGGCTTCAAAACCTCAAAGGACAGGTTGATTCTCTTTTTAGGATCTAATGCACCTGGTTCCTTTTAAGTTGAAGACAATGCTCATTTACCATTTTCAAAGTTGTAGGGCCCTTAAGAATTATACTAAATCTACTCTACCCGTGTTCTATAAATAGAAGAACAAAGCCTGGGTGACAGTACATCTGTTTATATGATGGTTTACTGAATATTTTAAGGTCATTGTTGAGACCTACTGTTCAGGAAAAAAGATTCCTTTCAAAATGTTACTAATTGACAATGCACCTGGTCATGTAAGAGCTCTAATATAAGGAGTTGTACATGTTGTCATGCCTGCTAACACTACATCCATTATGCAGCCTGTGGATCAAGGAGTAATTTCAGCTTTTAAATCTTATTATTAAAGAAATATATTTCATAAGACTATAATTGCCATAGATAGTGATTTTCTGATGGATCTGGGCAAAGTAAATTAACTTTCTGAAAAGAATTCACCATACTAGATGCTATGAAGAACATCTGTGATTCATTTGTGGAAAAGGTCACAATATCAACATTAACAGGAGTTTAGAAGAAGTTGATT